GAAATGCATGCTAGTTGGAGACTCGTAGGCTTGACCGTCGTTATCGCGCATGTGCTTCTGCTCGTCGTTAAAGTCTCGTTAAGGAGTTCCAATGGACTCGCTAGTGTCGATCCCACTGACGGACGAAGCCACTCGCGAGCGAAGCTCAGCAATGTTGCTGCGTCTCCTCTTCTTAAGTTGCATCTTCGTCGAAGCTGAACTCGGCTTCGATCAGATTTCAATTGAGCCATTCCCGCGCAATGCAAACATCTTCTCCCTCCTTCCAAATTACTCGGACGCCAACTGCAGGGTATGTCTTTTCGTTTTTTCGTTTTTTCGTTTTTTCGTTTTTTCTATCTTTAGATATAAAATTTTGAATGAAAAGTTGCAGGAATTCGCAAACGACCTAGCGGAATCTCTGAAGGACATTGCTCGAAGGTTCCTCGGAAAGAATCGCAAGGCAGTGTCGCTGGTCGCGCTGTCGAAACACCCTTGCGTTCTTTATGCTCGAAATCGGGTTCTCGAGTCCTTGAGTGGCGAGTTCGCGCTTGTGATTGGCTATCGGAAGGGACGCGCTGCGACTCCAGCTTCCGTCCAGGACATCGGCCACGTGATTCTTCTGGAGAATTGGACGCGCCTTGAAGAATTCTTCGAGAACTCGAGCCTGAAGCGCAGGCAGCGATACGCTGTAGCCTTGGTCGCCGAGCCGAGGACGCTCGGCAGGAGAATCGAGAGTGAGCTGGCGAGTCAAGAAAGACTTGAGGAGAAGGCGGCGTCAAAGATCGGCAAGAAGGGCTACGTCAACGTGATATTTCTGCGGCCGATCTGCCGCGGCACAGTCGACGTCAGGAGCTACGAGAGCTGGTACCGAAGTGCGACGAGGAGCAGGAAGCCGACGCTTCGCTCTGTTGCTCGCTGGACCGCTGCGTCTCGACTGGGGAGCGCCGAGCTGTTTCCCTCGAAGTGTCGGGCAATGAAGTCCTTGATCGCGGCGCCTGTGACAAACCAGTACACAGAGACAGACGTCTTCCGCATTGGCCAGAGTGGCAATTGGCGTTTGCATGGAGTCGCCGGAAACTTTATAACTCTGTTCGCGGAGAGACTAGGATTTCGATTGGTCATTACCGACGGAAACCCAGCAGGCTGGGGCACTAAGTTTCCGAATGGCTGCTGGACAGGAATGTTCGGGCAGCTTCTCAGGCAAGAAGTTGACGTCGGTTTCGGCGGAATTCAGCCTACCGTTCGCGTGACGCAGAGCTTCGATTACTCCCTGTACTACACATGGGACAGCATGGTCTTCACGACGGCGTCGCCGAGACTCGGCCATTCCTGGCGCTGCGTCCTTTATCCTTTCAGCGCGAAGGTCTGGCTCTGCGTCGTTTCCTCCTTCCTGAGTTACGCCGTCCTCGTTTCGCTGGCCCGATTCGTCAATTCGTATCGCCCGCCGCCCGATGCCTCGGGCACCGAGAAGCTCGTTGGGCCTTTCGACCTCTGGAGAATACTGGTTGGGCAGAGTCTGCGGTATCCTAGAGGACTCGAGCAGCGCGCCATCCTGGGACTCTGGCTTTTCAGCAGCTACGTCATGGCAGCCAGCTACACGAGCAGCCTGGTCGGCTGCTTGACTAGCCCTTATTACGTCAAGCCCCCAAGCACTCTGGAGGAACTGAATCAATCTGGAATGCAGCTGGCTGCGAGTATCGGCAGCACAACCATTTTCAATTCGAGCGACGACCCACTTATAATGTATTTAAAAGATCGGTGGGTATAGCATTTTTCGTCTTCTGTCTACGCTGTCATCGCTCTGTCTTACTTGAGCGTTTCATCTAAATGAATCTCAATTATATAAGGTTCAACCTCTTCTGAGTTTAGGCTGCTAATCTTGGACTACGATGAACTGCAGAGAGTGCCTCTGACATTATCGGAGCGCGGGTTGGCGGCGCTGGCGCTGAAGAACGCAGCCTCCTACAGGAACCGGAAGTACGTCGGCAATCAGGCGAAGCAGTTATATATCTCGAAGGACCAAATTATCAGTTTCCCAACGATGTTTTATCTTCCCCGAGGTCATCCTTGCCTCGAGATCCTTAACGAGGTACTTGCACGCTCGCATGCCAATGGACTAATGTCAAAATGGTACGAAAACTACGCTGCCAGCATAGGAAACGTCGCCAAGAAGAGTCGGAGAATGCCACTGGAGACGAAGCACATGGCAATTGTCTTCCAGATCTTAGGGAGCGGCCTGTTGCTCGCCGGCCTGGTATTCCTCCTCGAACTCTATGCCTACCGTAAATAGAGATTCACGCGAATTCTCCTGGACTCCTCCTGGAAGAGCTGCGCCGCTCCGAGTGTTGCCTACGCTCAGTGCGCAAGAAGCTCCGGAGTCGAAGGCGAAAACTGAAATTCTTACGTCTTTCGATCGATCTGTCGTCGATTGAGAACTTCAAAAGCCAGTCGCGGCGTGGCAGTCAAGAGAGGAGCCCAGGAGCCCAGGAGCTCAAGGAGCGCAAGGAGCGCAAGGAGCGCAAGGAGCGTTGGGCTGCTCTGCCAAATCGACCTGACGTCGCGGACGCACTCGTGCTCCCGCTTGTGACGGAATGCGGATGCCTACATGGCTCTCAGCTGTCTGGTTGTCTGGCTGTCTGGCGTGGGGCATCTGGGGAATGTGGGTGGGTGGCTGAGTAACTAGGTGCGACTATTTCAGGGCCCGCGAAGGGGTAATACATATATATAATATTTCCGAATGTTCTTCGAGTACTTTATTCTGACATTGAGAATCGAAAGGTTAATGCTAGACTTCTCAGGAATCTCGTAAGAACGTTACCCAGAGGGATTCGCAGAGTTCATTAGTCCTTACGCGGTGGAAAGGAGAATTCAGGAAGAAGGATAAAAATTGAATGATGAATGACGAAGGAGGAAGAAGAAGGAAGAAGGAAGAAGGAAGAAGGAAGAAGGAAGAAGGAAATGCAACTGCGCAGGAGAGCGGCAATTTGTGCGACATGCATTCCGAGAACTCGAATGACCGTTTGCAACAATGTCTGCCAATTTTTCTTAAGCGACACTTACGGTCATTGCATCTCTTCCGGGAAGTAGCGCATTGTACCTGGTAGCATTTTTATGCAGGATCCGCAGGCAAAACGGGACGCACTGAACATAACGTGTTCCTTTTACTGTTTCTCCATCTTGCCGTTTCATCATTTTTCCGCCTGCGTAAACGATTCTCATTTCTTTCTTCCTTGACTCGCGCTTAGAGATTGGCTCTGGGGCCACTGGTTAGCTCTGCTCCACTTGTCGTCTGTAGGACCTGTGCAGCTTTCGGCCTCGCTCGCACGCAGGACTTTCGGCCGATGCGTATGTATGTATGTATGTACATTGCACATGCTTCCGGGATGCCCCGCGCCTCGACTTCCCCTTCTCTCGTCGCGCTCCTCCCGAGATCACGCCGGATTCCTGCACGCAGCGGATGTCTCGGACGAGAGCAGGCTTCTCCTCTGCTCTCCAGCGTTATCCCCTTCTCAAGCTCAGCAGAGGCAGCCTCCACCTCCGCTGCGATCCTGCGCCTAATTCGCTGCCGAAACTTGCTTCCTCCAATTACCCGCTACACGTAGTAACTGTATTCTGCTTGCACTTTTTCCAACAGATTGATAGCGGCTTTCCCTCATCTCGAACGAAATAGCTCTGGAAGTAGCTAATATTTTACTACCGAAGTGAAATGCGATTCTCTGAAGTGATCTTCCTGTCGCCAAGGTCGACCTAGACGCTGCGTCCAGTAGACCGCAGAATCACATCCATCGGTTTAATGCCATTGCGAATGAGAGTCGAACTAAGGTGCAGCGAGGCGATTAGTCCTGAGCGCGAAGGCTGCCATTCTGCCATTCCAGCCAATCCAGCCAATCTTGGCTGCTCCCGAGTCTAATCGTTTCGTGGGTCGTTCCTCTTTTGCACGTTGCGCCCTGGACCTTCGGAAGCCAATGTAATGGGGCCGACTCGTGTAGTCAGAGAAGGCAACGGATGAGGCGACACGTCGCGATGATGGTAGTTGGCCACCGCCGAGACCGCCGAGACCGCCGAGACCGCCATTCCCACAGTGCAACAGTGCAACAGTGCAACAGGCAAAAAGATAATGAAATAATATCAATGCGGAGCGCGTATCGTGGGCGCACAAGTACTGGGCCAGCGAGTATGCGCACCGCTGCTTGAACTCGAATCGCTCGATCCCCGTGTTTCCCAAATTACACTCTATGAGTCACAGAGCGTGATTCGAGACCGAAGATTCGCCAAATTTCTGGAAAAATCCACGTGGATGGGAGAAGAAGGAGCTAAAACGAAGGCGAAAAGTCCGCACCGTTCGCGCGCAGCCTATCTCTTTCGCTGGCAGTTTCGCACGATTGTCTTCAGCCATTTGTTCCTGCTGCAGGGGTCGTACCGATGAACCCACAATGGATCTAATTAAAATGCTGCCGCTTGGCAATGAGCTGAATCGATTGTCTCCCGTTGAGCGCGAAGGAACAGAGATTGTGCGCAAGGAAATGATTGCTCGTGTCTGCGAGGGTCGAGGAGTCAAAGCGCGCTTAGGTCAGACGAACGTATAGACACAATCTTTGGATGAGGCCTAATGCCAGATATTAAAGGCAAATCGCCATCGAAGGCGATTTAACATAAGAGACAATGGCTGAGCACCTTCGTCACCGAGAGAGTCACGTTTGGCTAATGACCGTTGACTTGGAAATCTCGGAGGTGACAGCAGCGCCTCTCTCGTGTGACGAGTTAAGCCATAAAAGCGCGAGGTCGAAGCGCAGTTCCGTCCTTCTCGACTGCGCCGTTCAACGGCAGGGAGTGAGATACTTGGGAATAGACAAGTCGCGGAGGGAACGTGGAGACTCATCTGCCTGTAGCAACCTTGAGCGACCTCGAGTTAAAGGGGGTGGGAGGAAGGGAGGGACTGCACTGCCAGCTAATGGAAAGAAGGAGAAATGCTCAGAGTATCCCCGACCTCCTCGTCTTCCTAGACCAGTCGTTGACTCGACGATCCATGGAAGAGATCCATGGAATGCCTGCCCTCGTGGCTCCGTATTTGCGTACGCGTCGGCAAATATCCAACAAGTTTTCAAGTTTACGCTCGTTGTCAGTGGCTTCGCGAATACGAGAGAACAGTAGAGAGTCTTTGGATGAGGAGAGCGTGCCGACGACTTCCATCCTTCGTGTTTTAGCATACACTCCAAGGATCCGCGTCTCACTACTCCCTTCCAGTATCGCAACGCCGCCGCTTCGCCGTGACGTCGAGTCCGAAGAATCATTACGCACGGTGTTCAGGCACCCAGGTACCCAGGCACCCAGGCACCCAGGCAGCCATATTCAAGTAAGGTTGCATCCAGGCACATAACCTGCCGTCTAACGTAAGAGGGCTGATGCTCGACTGATAAATTTACGGCCTTCTTCTTGGTATGCATAGGTCGTGCGACTAGTAGTAGGCGCTGCGGCTCGCGCATGCGTGCCTTCTGTAGACGCACTCCACGTCGACCGTCCTCTCACGAGACCTGCGAGAGACCTTCAAGATTTCTCTCGAATTACGTCTCTTCGATCGTTCTAGCTCTTCTTCTCTCGTGCAAGGATCAACAGAGCCATTGCGTGATCGCGTCGCATCTCGAATAAAAAGGGAGCTGACGCTGGCGGGTGGTTCCACACATGGTTCCACACATGGTTCCACACATGGTTCCACCGTTCCACCGTTCCACCTACGTCCGGTAGCTCCGAGGCCGTCAGCTACGATCCGCTTCGGGGCTGCTTAACACCCATATCTATTGTGTGCTCTCGAGTTCGCGTGATCGTCCTGATCGACCGCTCGGCTTTTTCCCGCCCTGTTTCTCTTGGTCATTTTCTTTTTATTTTCTTTCCATTCCCATTTTATTCCCACGCCCGCGCATCCTGTCATTGGCCATTTATAATATCAAACTATCTTCGAAAACGAACAAGATTGATTGAACTTTTTATTGTAAATAAAGGAATGTGCAATGTATCCCAAAGTAAATATATACGCAGGTGGACGATTGCGAATGTCGTAGCTTGCTAAGATCAGGCACACGTTTGCTTAACTTTCTGAAGAATATGTCGTTTTTCTGACAATATTTCCCTACGATCGTGGACTAGGAGACGTCATCAGGAGCTTGCAGACAGCACGAGCGCTCGAACTTTCAACTGCCTCGCAGTCAGTCTATACAGTCTATATAAAGCCAACTCGGAGAGGTAACAGAGGAAACAAATGAGCCGTTAGACTGTTTGAGTCTTCATCGAAGCGATCTCTATCGAAATTGGATCGCATTTGCTTGACATTGTCTTTGCGAGGATCCTTTGAATGAATGTCGTGCGAATGACGCTCGATACTCAATCGCCTCGGTTCGATCTTTTTGTCCTCCACTACCGAGTCATGAAGATTCAAAGTGAAGGAAAATAATGCGACGATGCAGAGATAAAAGAAATATTGGAGGCTCGAAGCAATCTATAAAAAAATAGTCTATTTTTAGGTCTTGGGATCCAATTATATTCACAAAGCCACAATGATCCAAGGCGAGATGCGTCGTTCACGGCATCGTTTCTGCGCGACCCGATTTCGAAAACCGTGTTTATCTTGTAATTTCTCTCGTAAACCAACGGAGAAACAGCCGTCTGATTCCGAGTGGAGAAAGAAGTAAAAATGGCAGAGCCCTCGAAGTTACCATCTGCCGTCCAGCGCCGTCCAGCGGGGTCCACGGCAGAGCCACTCGCACCGATTATCTTAATAGCGCAAGTGACTCTAATGAATAGGGAGGTTTTTCCAGCGACGCCGACGAGACGCCCCCTTTTCCACCTTCGCTGGCAGCTCCGGCTACAGAGATCAGGCTCGCTCGCAGATGCAACGGGCTGCCGCGTCGTGCAGGTAAGGGGCTACCATTGCTGCGTCTGCCAGTGAGATACATCGAGTTAGTTATCCGCTTCTGCCTCCGCTCTTGCTTCTGCTGGTAGCGCGTAGTCGGTATCGCGCTACGTACTGGACGAACGGAAAACAGTCCAGGTGTTTAATCGTATTCTAGAGTCTAGAGTGACGCTAATGAGAAGTTACTCATGATTTATATATCATGACGGATTCATAGTGTTTTTACTCTTGGATGATCCTTAGCCTCGGTTCGCTCAGCGGTTCAAGCTTTAAGCTGCGATCGGTAGGGAACCAGCGATATCCGAGAGATAATGGAAGCTGAAGATCCGCCGCTCTTCCTCTCTTTACGTTCTTTATGTTTCGTCTCTGACTTCTTTGATGTCTTCCTACAGGTGCGTTGGATGTGGCGACTTATCAGACTATTTTTATTGGAATAATCATCGAAACAGTTGTAGGACGAGCTATCGCGTCCGCTGAAGTAGGTAAAAGGGAACAGCTAATTTCGTTGGCAGACTCATTAAACCGTTTCACTGAAAACGAGAGGATGAGATTCGGAGATTTTCAAGTGATAAAATGTGACGCGTGTGCTGCTTCTCCCGTACATCACTGTCCAATTCCACCCACGAGCTTGGCTATTCTCGGCCATTCCTACCTGTTGCTGCCCACTACTCGAAATCCGGAATCCCAATCCGAATTGTTAGTCCGGCAGATAATGAAAGCACGACGCCAGCCGCGACGAGAGCCAAGATAAAACGCGAGCTTCCTCAAGGTCATTCTTGCGCTTCACGTCCAGTGGAACGCCTCAAAGAAACCGACCAATGAGATTATCTTGGAGCCCCGGAAGGAGTCCCGAAAGTCACCGGCCGGGAGGCGAGCATAACGAAGGAGGCTCAAAGGGTTCAGGGGTCCGAGGGTCAAAGAGTCAAAGAGCCATTGAGAAATCGCACGACGTAACTCATACGAAGTACAGAGCCATTAAATCGAGCGATCCGTGTTTGAGTTTTAGGGGCGTCGCACCAGCCAGCTGAGTCTCCGCTGGAGTCTGCGCGACTGGGACACATTTCCTCCTGATTCCCATCGACGGAGGGAAATTAAATTTTATATCCACCAGGCAAAACGAGTCTGCCTGGCTGCCAATCCGAGGATGCGGTGGCTGCGCCAAGTACGCAACGGAAACCAAACTACCGCGCCACGAGTGAGGAGCAAGTAAAAAGTAAACCGCACTCGCATCCCTGTGCCGGTGCCATTAGGCTCCTCTGCGTCGTTGCGGTTCTCGCTGCAGTAACGAGGGAAAAAATTGCAGCGCTCCGCTTCGATTCTGCTGGATCGCTGCTCCCTTGTACTTCGCCTTCTTTCTCGTGCTGAATATTTAGTGCCGTTCATACTGCTGCCAGGCGAAGATGCCTGGCTGGACCAGATCGGGGCAGCGCGACATCAGACTCCAGACTGCGTGGGAGGCTGCTGCTGGTACTCGAATAACATGTGGAGACATGTTATTCGCCGATCGAGGAGGCGCAGGCCAGTCAGACTTTGCCGGTCTTTGCTTTTCCCTACTTTTAATCGATTTTCCTTGGACTTTATTCCGGTGTCCGTGAATACACCCACACACACACACAAACACACACACACACACAGGATGGACGGCGGCGACCACCGAGGAATCGGTGGCCTAGCGATATTTCAGAGATCCTTGTAAATAAAACAGGATACTCGAGGACAAGCCTAATTGTGAATTGAATGCTCGACTCGATAGGTTCGTGTTGGAAGGCGGCGGACGTCGGGGATGCGTCGAGCGTGGGTAATCCGAATAAGGAGGCCATGAGAAGATTTACGAGAGGAAGGGCCGCCGTCGAGCGTCCTCGAATCGGGCCCGGTTATCTAAATTACATCGGAATCGATGTGTAGGAGCGCGATTCATTGGGGCGGACATAATCATAATATCATAAAGCAACACCTCTTTATATATCGACGTGTTTCAGCGACTCTTGAGCTAACGAGGTGTCGAGCATTCAGCTTCTCCAGCCTCCATCCTATCTTTTTACTTCACAGGCTCGATCACGCTGAATCACGATCTCGCAATCGTTTGGTAGATCGATCGCCAATTCGTAGCAATGAATCGAGACCAATCTCGGCTGCGAGTCACCAAGGGAAATCACAGGAGGAAGATCTAAACGCTCGACACAAAATAAACAGCTGCCCTATCTGCCCTCTCTCTCTCTCTCTCTCTCTCTCTCTCTCTCTCTGTGTCAAAAGCATTTTGTCAGCTGATTAGCGACGTAATTCTAATTAGTAACGGCCGGTTACGCACGTTTTTCCTTATGCAGCTCGGAATAAAATGCCAACCGAAGCGAAGGAAATGAAAATAAATTCTTGGTCCGTATAGTCTCGTTTGTATTTCTATGTATATTGGCCAAGCAAAAGTTTATTGTTTTCAAAGAAAAACTTTGCTGCTCTTATCTTTGAAATGAAGTACACTTGCCATTTAATAAAGCTCATGCTCATGCTCATGCAAATCTTTGGCAATTAACTTCCTTTTCTCGGAAAGACTCGCAACTCTTACATTCCCACACTCGGTTCGCAAGGGGTTCGCAAGGGGTTCCAAGGGGTGAACGCAGCCATCAATGGACTCTCCCTCTTCGACCCTCGTCCGTACGCACTCTCACGCAATTTAGCGAAAGAAGCCACGAGCGTGTGTAAGAGCAACGCTGCGCCGGTTGGCTTCGGATGGGAGGAGTTACCGAAGGAAGGCGAGCTCTCTCATGAAAATGCTCCAGCGAGGAGCTGAGAAAATGAATCTGTGGCATATGGTGCCCCCGTGGAATTCACCGCAGATTCTGCCTGCAGGCTACAAGACAGACCTGTACGTGGTCCGGTTACCTGGCTGCAGTAGGTAAACCTCGACGCTTCTTTTCAAGATTCTTATGTACTCGTCGCATCTGCTGCTGCAGTGACGTATCATGACGTAGTTAGCTAACAACGGGGAGAGAATCTGGTCGGTGACGTCAGGGGACCAGGTGGCCTTTGAGAATGGAGTTAGGGGAGCCCGTTGGCAGCGTCGGTCGTTAATGTAGAAAGGTCCTTTGGTATTTATAAACAAATCGACGGGGAGCCCAAACCCCTCTCGAAGGAATCTATTGTCCTTGAGTTTTCGACGCCAGGAGCTTGCGACTTGCGCTCTCACGACGCCGGATACATCGAGGGAAAGACGCCTCCGAACCAGGCGGCCCACTTGCGTGGGATAAAGTCCGCACCACGGCGGGAGTTCAGCGTCATTCCGCAACACCTCCGTCCGGCCTGCGTCCCGAGTGCGTTATACATTTCCTCGGGTTTTGGGAATTCGCACTATTAAGGAATCGCCGGCAAAATTCGTAAGTCGCCAAGTCCGAATAGAGCGAGGAAGGAACTGATCGAAGGACATGGAGAAGCGACGTCCAGTTCCAATGGCGCAGAGTCGACGCCACTTGTCAAGTGGACACGCATCCGCGTGCACATCCCGTAGGAACCGACCTGACGTTTCGAGAGCATTTCTTAAGTTTAAGACGGGATAATCGTCTTACCTTCGAAGCGGCGACTTATCGACGCAGGACGATTCCTAAAGCAGAGACCTCCCATATTGGGTTCGACGTATCGGCGGGAGGAGTGTACTTTGCGTTCGGATTAAATCGCGTGTGGGCGATCCGAGGACCGGAATTATCACTACCACCACCGACAGCAGCATCAGCCTGCAGTGCCACCGACACGAGCATTGCTGTCGCCTGGTCTCTTCTTTCCCGTGATCCTCTTTCCGATTGACGCG